ATAAAGAATTAGTAATCAGCATCAACCCACTCTTCTTTGGTTTTCTTTTGTGTTAATGCCAGGTTATAGAGAAACTTGCCAAAAGGATAGAATTAAAAATCTAGAGTTCCATAGTACCAGCATGGCCCATTTATGGGAGGGCTGGGATAAAAGGAATAATCTCTATAGATTTGTGTTACATAGGCAATAAAACATATACCTTTGTAGCATGCCAGCATTTAACCAATCATAGAAGCTATTTGTTGCCTCATATATTACAAAGCAATAGAGATTTAAGGGATAATGTTCATGGAGGCAGAGGATACAAAGCAATAAACAGCATTGGAGGTTGGTTAAATGCCAAGTAAAGCCAGACTGCAGCACCATAAACATTATTCCTATTATATGACAAGATAAGGAGGTAGAAGCAGCTAGGGTGCTACCGCTATTGGTGGTCTTAGAATGGAAGGCGGGCTCTCGAGGTCTGTGAACCAGTTATAGGTTTCACATCTCAGAGAGATATGAACAGAAACTCAACTTGCACCTAACTGCCCTCTGGGAGAAGATCTGGTAATATATATCTGGGGGGGGGGGGCGGAGGAGGAGCATGAGGAGTGGGGAGAGAATAAGAGTCCCTCAAGTCATAGTGGACAGAGAAAAGATCAAAGGATTTTCTTTAAATGGATAATTTGATACAGACAGAAAGGACAGAAACCTTTCTCAATGGCTAATAACAGAATAATACTCTCCATTAGTAGCATCTCTTCAGAGGAAAAGTATTCCTGTTCTTAAGGAAATAAACATTCTAAGTAGTAAGTTTATATGACCAGTTTCTGCTCAAAGACTTGATTATGATAGCCAGAAGGACTACTTAAATCTGTATAATTTGGATTACAAACCAATGTCAAGTGTCTGAGATGGAGGTATAGGAATACAGAATTTGTGGGCTTCTGGTAATTAAAATTGGACCAAAAAACTTCCAAAAGATAGTTATCTAACTGTACCCACATGAAATAACATCTCATATTCGAGATTACTGAGAGATATAGAACAATTTTATAATCTACCTTCAAATAAAAGTCACCCCCAAAGCAATTCAAAACTTCCAAGACTTTCTACACTTGTATTATTTTATTTTAACAATAGCACAGAGGCAAAGTCACTTTACAGTTAACAATGTCTTTAAATAGATGTTATCTTTTTTTTTTTGTGGGACCCTCGTTGGCGGCCAGGGAATGAACCAGCGCTACAGAGGCTGCGGGCGGCCTCCCAGCCCAGCGCTCAACCGCTGCGCCATGATGGAGGCCCTAAATAGATGCTATCTTATAAATATTTTGAACACCCATACAACTCAAATTGAACCACCCCTTTGATACAAGGTATCTGGGGCACTGTTGCCTTAACAACACCAACCCATTCTCTGGAGGCACTGCTATTAACTACTCCTGTTACCAAATTCCATAGAGTGGTATTAGCAGGAATATTGCTTTCCCTTAGTTCCACAGCAAGAGGGTGATGAGGCCTCAAGAGAAACAAAGCATCTCAATAGGAGAATAGGGATGAGAGCGCTCAAAAAACTATCATCTGCCTTTTCAGATAAGAATGCAAAGAACACAACCTTCAGCAGCCATTTTTTTTTTTTTTTAAACAAACATACATGCAGCATATTTAGAACTCAGCTGCGTAGCATCAGACTTACTGTTGGGAAGTGGATCATGAACAGAATCCAAAAATAACAGCCATTAAAGACCTAGCAACCAAAACATGTTTACGTATCCACTGAAAGCCTGGTGGTTGTGATTATACGGTGGAGAGCATAATCCACTAGTCTATTTTAGGTGAGTTTTCCTTTCACCTTCCCTTAATATTAAGGCATAAGATGATTTCTGAGTTAGGGGTATATAAGGTAAAGTCTGGGTAGGGAACAGATATTAAATTGTAAAATCCTATAGTTTTGTTTGTTTGTTTGTTTTTTTTTAACAGAGTACTTTTTTTTTTTTTTTTAAAGATTTATTATTTATTTATTTATACAAGTACTGGGTACAGTCAGAAGCGCGGGAGGGTGAGAGAACTCACCAGAGCCAGAGCAGGGAGCAGAGCAGGCAGAAGGACCGAGGTACACCGCCGAGGGGAGCAGCGGGCGGCAGGAGAGGTCCGCGCGCCATGCGGGACCCTCCTCCGGTGGCCGGGGAGCAGCCGGGGATCGAACCGGCGCCACAGAGGCTGCGGGCAGCCTCGCAAGCCAACGCTCAACCGCTGCGCCACCGGGGAGGCCCTTGTTTGTTTGTTTTTAAGGATCTGGCTCTTCAATTACAATTTGCTTTCATTCCTTTTTACTCTAACAGGTAAAAGCCACAGATTTTTTTTTTTTTTTTTTAAATTTTTATGCCAGTAAGTTCTAAACCATGTCCTGTAAAAATTATCATGGTCCTTAGTATTTCTGCTGGGATTTACAGAGCCTTTTTATTATTCTACCATTTCTAGAATAAAGAATTTGAATCAATGATAGTAGACTATAAATAGCTTCCAGGCCTCAGAATGGCTCTACAATGCAACCATTTTTAAGGGATAAAAGGAAGTTGGATGACAGAACCAGGGTTGTTCACTTTACCAAATTTATCTTCAGTGCCAGATTTTCACTATTTCATATAACATAAAGGAATCACAGTAAATTTTATATAGACATTTTACTCTACAGTTATTTGTACTAGGTGCTGGGAGAAACTTGGAAGGAGACTATAACTAAATAACTACAATCATCTAACCATAAAGTTTTTTATATGCAAAGGAGGTAAAAGGATGAAATCATGCTACCTTCAAAGCCTTAAGCAGTAGCTTCCTAAACTTTCTCTATGAAACAAGTAACTTGAATTCAAAAGGTAGCAATCTTCTGAGTTCCACGCTTGACAGGGTGGGGAGCCTTCAGAACCTACAGGAGAGGTTATAAAGAATCGCAATAACCAAAATACCAACAAAGAACAGAAATGGACAAGTAAGGGAATGGGAAAAACTTATAACAAACAACCCAACAGTACAAGAAGGAATCAAGTAAAAAGTCCCTTCTGTTTCCCTTCCTCTAGTCCAAAATAATACCAAAACAAAAACAAACATATCCTTCTAGAATTTCACAAAATGTCAGCTAAAATTACTCTTTTCTGATAAGACAATATGAAGAAACCCTACTTGTATCTTTCTTCATCAGAAATCTTATGAGATGTTTTTCCTGTATACTTTATTTTTATCATACATTTGTATTTCTTTAAGTCCTTGTCTGGGTGATTTAACGCATACAGCAAATCAGAGGGGGTATAGATACTGAGCAGCTTAAACATTAAGTGAAGAAAAGCAAATAAAAGGAAAATAAATCTTTTTTCCCAAAATGCAAAGTACTAGGTAACAATTACATAGTCACAGTAAATACAATTATTCACAAATTCATACAAAAAAATTTGGAAGAATCAGGTTCAGAAAAAGCTGGCTAAAAAAATGTAACAAATATACCCTATTCTTCCAACTGGCTTGTTTTGTCAAAAAAAAAAAAAAAAAGAAGAAGAAGAAGAAGGGCCTCCCTCGTGGATCAGGGGTTAAAGTCTCAGCACTATCAAGTTATGGCCAGACACTGTGGCAGCATGAGTTCGATCCTGGCCAGGGAGTTAACCCACACATGGTGCAGCAGACCTCTCCTATCTCACTTGCTGCTCCCCTTAGCAGTGTATTTTAGTCAATGTGCCTGTTCTGTTCCCCACTCTGTCTCTGGTGAATCCTCTCACCCCCTGCACCTCTGGCCTACACCAAACATGCAGTTAACAATAAAGGTAAAAGCTTTGACAAGGAAGGAAATAAACCCTATAATGCTGAATACTTCAGGATACAATGGCCTTTTAGTCCTTCTGAAAATTTTAGCATTCACTGGAATTTAGAGTCATCCCTTTGTTCATTTCTTATTACCACCCCCCCACCCCCCCATTCCCATTCACCTCTCAAATTCCAAATCTTAGGAATCTCTGGAACTTAAATCTCTCTTCTTTTTGTCTAAGCATTTACAGTGTTTAACAGACCAAGTCTGCAATCTCACATACCACCAGTAAGTGTCACTGGACAGTCACATGACATATTCCTAAATGAAAAGAAATTCAAGCCTCAGGTTCGATAAAATCAATTCATGAAGTCAGATAAAACTTTCTTTGTATTCCTTTGTATTCCTTTCCTTCATGCTTTGTGAAACATAGCAATAAGGAGGATCTAGGAAGAAGAGTTAACAAGGTGCAAGTTCAAGAAAATTACGTTATTAAAAAAGTATATGATAAAAATATATGACACATAATATACACATGCAAACAATACATGGCAACTGACAAAGAATAAGGCATTTCATGGTGTCAGATAGGGAAAATGGCTGAGAAATTTATATATTTATATAATTTGTAATTTATATATTCCTATGAGATTCTGAGATTACAATTTATATCTTGTAATTTATATATTCCTATGAGATTCTGAGTTCTGTGTTAGGTATGTATTTCACAGATATATTACCCACCTTAGCTGCTAACAATGATTTTCTGAATCAACAGTAGAAACATTTTTTTCCTTACTTAAAAAATTCAAATAGACCCTGGCAAATTGGGGTTCACAATGAATGGGCTCATTCTCAGCTGCCTATCCAAATATGTTAAGCAGACTTTTATATCCATGAGGGTTGAGGAAAAGATATTTCTAAACTTGCTTTGTATTTAGATGGACAGCTTTAGAAAGGAGTAGAGAGCAACATGTATTCTTCAACACTGTGTGCTGGGAAACAAACGCCAGTAGAATAACAATATGAAAGCGAGCAAGGCAGATTTCATTATGGTAGAGTGTCTACACTTCCTCATAACTTGGATTTACACACTGCAAATCCGCTGATCTGATTACCTCCAGTGATCACGTAAAATACCGGCTTTAAACTCTTTGCCTTAGTGATAAAACAGCCACTTTGATTCACAACGAGACATTCACAATAAAGTATATTGTAAACGTACCTGTCCACAGCCCGGGGCATTGCACACAAACGGTCTGTCGTCTCCCATATTTCATAGAGCAGAGCGGAGCTGAGGAGGGGGAAGAGGGGGGAAAGTTATGTTAAATACGCTGGAGTAAAAAAAAAGTGCTTCAAAAATATCAAGCCTAGAAACAGGTGTTCCAAGATGCCATCTATCAAAGCTATAAACACAGGCTACTTTGGGGAGACCCATTAGACAGGTGGCATATGATCTACTGTGCCTCAATGGAAACTTATAATCACAAAAATTTAGACCTGAATAGTCAAGAAATTTCCAACCTTTTGCTAGATTTTCCCTTATTCGGCTACAGTATATAACATACTTCTCTAGCCCGCTGAACTACAGTCAGCGCAGTTCCCTATGTCAATAAATCCACTGAACGCTCGATGCGGAAGCCATATTTCTGAACTAGAGAAGACCAAAATTTGTCATTTAATTAATTAAGGGATTATAGGAGGGGTGCTCCATTTTACAAGGCCATAATCTGGCTCCCTGGTGTATAAACTACGAGACTGTTGGCAAGGGCCGTTTATCCCAGATTATTGCCAAAGAAAACAAAGCACCCATCCTATTGGGCTGCACGGGAAATGATTTTCATTAATAAAAAAATAAAAACCTTCTCTCCCCACTGGGAGCCTCCTTCTCTCTCCCCACCCCCAAGCCCCAATTGTCTGGCAAATGGAGAAATATTGGTGCCCTTCCCCCCTCTGATTCTATTTATGGCTAGGTTTTTAAAAGCAGCAATAAAACAAATGTCGCCTCTTTGGGGGTTTACTGGGTGAATATGTTCCGGCTGTTTGTGCTGCTCTCACCCAGAGTTCTTGGGCTGCTCTGTTGCAGCCAACAGATGTGTGTTGCTGCAGGGGATTAAAGAATGGCACTAAAAGGCATCACCATCCGTCCTCTCTATTTCTCCAAAGAATTTAACAGGGTTTATATTTTATACTGTTGTTGTTTTTTAATTATTGAAGCTAAACTCTTGAAATGTTGATCAAAATTCTTTGTCAAAGAACAATAATTCTAATATGAATATGTTTCTCATGTCCTTACTAGGAATAAAGAGGTAAAGATGACTAAGGATTACAAATGCAAACCCTAGTAAAAATATTTCTATTCAACAGCATTTTGAAAGGGTAGAGCATAAGGTGTGTGTGGGGTAAATAAAAATTTTCTCAATAAACTCCCAAAGGACATTTTCAAATATCCTTCCACTATAGAGAAATGTATATGAATGCACACAGGAAAGACGAAGGGGAAGAACTACAATTTGAATAGGCCTAGACACGTTTTCAAAACTGTAGCCAAACTTCACATTTTTATCTTGGAAATAACCTAAAATGTCAGGTTAACTTTAGTCGGGTCTACATTAAAATAAAATGTTAAAAGAGTTGGCCTGTGCCTGGTAATCAGAAAACCAGGCTAAAACTCAGAGGATAGCTAGGTAACATCTCTTCTACTTTCTTAAGACTCACCCTAGGGGTGGTAGTCTGATCATTAATTCCACAACTAATCAGTGTTTAAAATTGTGGGGTGCCCCATAAAATAAAAAGGACTTCTTAGTCATCTTTCAACATGATAGGAGCAGGGTCTAACTATGAAGGAAACTGATGCTGCAGCATTGCTGTAATGGAAGAGAGCCTGTATGTACATAGGTGTACACAGATTTATATCACATTTAGCCAGGATAAATTGCTTCAATAAATTCTGTTCCTAGGAGATGCCAACTCAAGCTGATGATTGGGTACTGGCAAAATGAGAGCTTTATTCTTCTTCACACAGCCCCAGGACAAGGGAAACTGGTTTGTGTGCTTGTTTTAAATACATGATGATTTTTTAGCTCTTTCTGGAACAATGACAATTGTGCAAAAAATAAATACAAGCAAATAAATGCAAAGATCAAGGTCATTATGGCTGAAAACTCAGCATTTTGGAAAGCAATTCATTTCTGGAAAAATTCTAACAACTGCTACACTGAAGAGAGTTTCACTTCTAGTCCCAGAACCTGCTTTTCTAACATAATCATGAAATGAGAATTTTATTTCAACAAGGTCCTTTAACATATTTTCAACCAGTAAGTAAACAGGGCTAGAACAAACATAAAAGGACTAAGCATGCTTCCTTATTTTTACCTTAGTTCTGTTATTCGAGGTTAAATTTTCTATTTAGAAGAGGGGACGAGTCCTGGCTGAGGAATGGGTCAGGAGTGGTACAGGAAGTGATTAATTAAATTTTTGAATAGGCTTCTCTCAAACTATAATCATAAATTTTAGCTTTGCACAATCACAAATTTTATTTAACTGCATCCTTATTAGCAACAGAGGTGAAAAACCATGACTTTCTAAAAGTGCAGGGAAAAGGCAAAAATGAGTTGGGGAGAAAAGTGCTAAAATATAACAAAAGTAAGCATTTTCATGGCTATTAAATATTCAAATCTGACAGTCACTAACTAGGTTTCCTGCTTCCTTCCCAATTTGCTGGCTTTTGTTTTGCCATTTTCAACAAAAGGAAATCACAATGGGAGGAAGAAGGCCTTTTTTCTTAAACACCCACAACTGTTCTTAAATCATTCCCTCAATCTCGTCTTTTTTCATGTCCATCATTAATATTTTTTCACTTTAAAATGATTTGTCTTTTTAAAAAATCAAATATTTAACAATAATGATGTTTCCCCACTTAAAAAAAAATACAGCTAACATTTAAAAAATGTCTTCATTCCCAGTCTGCTGCATCAACTACTATATATGAAGAATGCTATTATTTATTTCTATTTGATACTTAAATCTTTAAATATAAGAAAGGCCCAAATGATGTCTCAAAAAAAAAAAACATATTTCTGTAGTATAAACAGGCTGACACAAAGCATAAAGTCTTGACTCTTGCTGTCATTCACTAGAATTTAACTCACAGCCCATTTGTTACTGTACTTGCTTGACAAGTAGATCACGTGTCTAGCATAGCACACAAGTCTGTCATCTGCTTCTTGAACTATTCTTCATGATGAAACTCAAGCATTTTATAGAACTAAGTAATAAATGGCAGGCAAGGGATACCACACATTTAGAGACATTTCCAAAGGGAAGTGAGATGCTTTCAGTGGAGATCTTAGAACAGGAAAACAAAGATGCATAAAAAGGCTGCCCCAAAGGCAAAGTGTGCTGAAGAAAGGCTCCTGTGCACTCAGTCACCAAATGCATAAACGGTAAAAACTAGTATCTACTCAAAAGAGAACATTATCTGAATGCTGGGAGAGACATGAAGAAAATTCAGGCTTAGAGAATGATTTTTAATAATTGGGGTCATTTTTGTTGAATAGTTTTGACAGAAGTATACTGATTCTTTATGTGTATATATGTATCCTATGTATCTAACAATCTATTTTTAAACAGAATGAGGATGGATAAGTCTATCACTGAGGTTTACAGTCAATTCTCTGGGCCTGGTGGCAATGTGATTATTTCTTTAATAATCCAACTGATGTTAAAAAGAGGAACCAACTTTAGTAAGAAATAAAAGTCTTGTACAAATACACCACTAGTTTTATAATAACAAAAAGCAGATCTTAATAGGTACAAAAAATGAGAAGGACATACACATTATAAATATCAAGCAGTTCAGACTAGATATTATTCAGTCATTAAAAAAACAAACAGGGGCCTCCCTGGTGATACAAGGGGTTAAGATGCAGCACTATGATGCTATCTGCAACCACCGCAGCAAGAGTTTGATCCCCGGCCAGGGAGGTGACCCACATGGTGTAGCAGACCTCTCCTGTCTCAGCCGCTGCTCCCCTCAGCAGTGTATTTCAGTACATCTGCCTGTTCTGTTTCCCACTCTGTCTCTGATGAATCCTCTCACCCCCCCACACTTCTGGCCTACACCCCAGTTCTTGTTATGCATAAATAAATAAATCTTTTTAAAAAATTAAAACAATAAAAACCAAACAATAAAGAACTACCAAGTGCCAGGCAAAATAGACAGAAAACTAAAAAGACAATAATCCTTTGCAAAAAAAAAAATTTTTTTTCCCCACTTATCTGTGTTAAAACCAGAGTGAATAGTAGCAAACACAGTAAAAAATCAGATTCTGTTCAGTACTATAGCAATGGGGAAAAGAGATCTTACTATCGAGCCAGGTTCAGTTATGAATCAAGCTGGGGCAAGTGGGAACTCATAGTCAAGGACCAGGTGGGTACCTATGGATAGAAAACTACTAAGACAGGGGACTCCCTGGCGACCAAGGGGTTAAAGACAGAGCTATCAATCTAACACCAGCCACTGCAGAATGAGTTAGATCCACTCATCCACTCAGCTGGCCAGGGAGTTACCCACATGGCGCAGCAGACCTCTCCTGCCTCCCCTGCTGCTCCCCTCAGCAGGGTATTTCAGTGGAACTGCCTGTTCTGCTCCCCACTCTGTCTCTGGTGAATCCTCTCACCCCCTACAACTCTGGCTTACACTTCAGTTCTTGTATGCATAAATACATCTTTTTTTTTTTTTTTTTTTTTTATCAAAGCACTGAAGGACATAAATACATCTTTAAAAAAGGGGGGGCCTCCCTGGTGGCGCAAGGGGTTAAGACGCAGCCTACGAAGCTATCCATAGCCACTGCAGTTCTTGTATGAATAAATAACATAAAACTTAAAAAAAAAAAAAAACCTACTAAGACAAATCATCAGGGTAAGGGGGGTTCTGGCTGAACCAACCTAACAGGATTCTGCTGAGGACACACAGCATCACCTGGGACCTGATTAGATATGAGAGTGATCAGATATCAAGGGTGGAGGGGTTCTTGCTAAAACTGGATTTTACAAAGAAGTAAATGAAGGTTCAGGAGCTGAGAAAGTCTGATCAGACAAAGAACTTGTCATCTGGTATGAAAACTGCCAAGTAAGTGGTAAGAATGATCACTTCATTTAACACATTCAATGTGAGGTTGATCTGTACACATACTAGATCACTTGCTATATTTCTCCTATTCTTTATAGTCATTTACCATTCTTTTTGCTAGCAACTCCAGTGTATAAATAAGAGCACAGAAAGGGGGGGTT